GAATGGCCTCTGTCTGTCAGTCCGTCCGTCCGTTACACTTTTGTGTCCGCTCCATAATTTTTTAACCCCTGAATTTTTTTTTAAATAACTTGGCACAAGTGATCACCATAATGAGAAAATATGCAGAGCGCAATAATTTGGTTGCTACCCCGAAGGTCAATGTCACACTTTAAGGTCAAATGTTAAAAGTCTTCATTTAATAATAAAAAGTTTACAGTTCATGTCCGCTCCATAACTTTTTTAGCGCTGAAAAGTTTTGAAATTACTTGACACAACGGATCACCATTTTGACACGATGTGCAGTGCGCATTAATTGGGTTGCTACCCAAAAGGTCAAGGTCACACTTCAAGGTCAAATGTTAAAATGTCTACATTTCGTGTCCGCTCCAACATTTTAACCGCTGAATTTAAAAAAAAAAATATCTTGGCACAATTGATTACCAGTATAAGAACATGTGCAGAACGCAAAAATTGGGTTTCTACATCAAAGGTCAAGGTCAAATGTATAAAAATCTACATTTCGTGTCCCCTCCATAACTTTTAAACATATAAAATTTTGTTTAAATAGCTTGGCACAATTGATCACCATTATGAGATGATGTGTAGATCGCAAAAATTGAATTGCTACCCCAAAGGTTAGGGTCACACTTACAGGTCATATGTTAGAAGTCTACATTTCATGTCTGTCTCTAACTTTTAAACCTCTGAAATGTTTTTAAGATAACTTGGCAGAAATGATCAACATTATGACGCTATTGGCAGAGCACAATAATCAAGTCACAACCCTGAAGGTCAGGGTCACATTCAACGGTCCAATGTAAAAACATCTTTTTTTCATGTCCGCTTTATAACTTATTGACAATTCAAGGGTTTTAAAAATACCTAGCACAAATGATCCCCACCACAACACAATCTACAGACCTCAACATCCAGGTTGCTGCAACCAAGGTCAAGGTTATATGTTCTCCGTAACTTTTTGACTTTATGGAAGATTTTAAATAACTTGGCACAAATAATCACCATCGTGAGACTATGTGCTTATGATATGCATGACACAACATCAAGGTCATGGTTGGTAAAAGGTCAAGAAGTACACATTCATGTTCCTTGCGAAGCCCTTGAGTAACAGTGTAAATATAGGAAAAACATGAAAATATTCTTCTCCATAACTGCAGGACTTAGTATAGAATACCATTAAATTTGCTTAAATCACGACCTTGTGGTCAAATTCATTTATGCCACGGGTCACTTCATTTTACATATAGGTAAAGCTAAAAAGAAAAACTTCTCCCACACCGATGCCTATAGCTAATTACTTCTGTTGTAGCCTTATATAGACCAGTACAAAATTTATTCAAATGAAAATTTAACCCACCCTTAGGGTCAACTTATTTCATATGGACCACATAGGAATTTTTTTTTAAATCATATTTTTTTTCCAAAACCAAATGCCCAGACCGTAGATTTAGGGTTAAAAGCATTGTCAAAAAGACCTTAATTTATTTTTCAAATCTTGACAATCTGGTCAAAGTTGACCTAACCCCAGGAGTCATTTTACTTTGTGTTATAAAGAAAAGGCTTTGAAAACTTTCTTCTCCATAAATAAAATGCTTTGATATTTAAGTGTGAAGCATTCATTCTATGACCATATCAATTTATGTCACAATATAATACACAACTACTAAGCTTGGTTAAGTCATGATCCGTTTGATTATAATTACCTTTCCCAAGGGTCAATTGATTCACATAGTCTAACTTATATATAAAATCCTTTATAAAAATCATCCCTTTAACCCCATTGTTTAGAGCATAATTATGAAACAATTTCTAGAAGACTTTTACCATGTTTCTTCAAATAATGATAGGGCCGGGCCTTGGTTATACGCCAATTTCAACACTTCTTTGTTGATAGCTTGAAGGTCGGTTAAACTATCTGACTTTTATGGATAAATAAACAGAAGAGTAATGACCAATTTCTACTAAGCTACGGTACTAACTTTTTTTGACAGACAAATGACCGTAAAACTCAATGTCCGAGATCAATTGTTGTCTGTGGAACAAGAGACGCCTGGACTTCACATCCGACACTCTCCGTAAAGTGCTAAGTTTGCAGGCATCAAATAATGATCATGAGTCTGGATTAAAACAAGAGCCGGTTGAACCGGGTGATGCTCCCCGACCAGGTTTTGGACACACGCCCGGTGACTAGATGCTCCGCCGAAATTTTTCGGGGAGCATAAATATGGCCCTGCCTAGGTGTAGATTTTTATATAAAAAAACTCTTTATGTCAGAAACCACAATGCAAGATCATTTGGTTGGAAGACTTGTCTCGTGTTCTTCTTTGAATGTTCAAATCATGGCCCCACTGGTATAAGGTGACATAGAATTTAAGACCTCGTGACCTACTTTCTTTTTTTTAAGCTAAAGAAATTTGATACAATATGACATGCCAGCTGACCTTAATCTGTACTAGTGACCTCTTTGTATTTTGATTGTAAAATTTCAGATGCAGAATTATACACTGAGATCAATTGACCTAGAATTTTATCGAATGTAATTCGAGTTTCATAATACAAGCTACAACCAAAAAGTTTGAACTCAACAATAAATTCGATTGTCATTAAAATTTGATATTGGTTGACCTAGAATTTGAACCAGTGACCTACATATTTCTCGTTTTAGCTACAAAGTCTTAAATGTTTACCCTATGTACAGTTTCAAACATTTGATAATGTTTATATACATTTCTACCTTAAGACTGCCTTTTACTTATTATTATCACCATTAATTATCCTTTCCAAACATAACAACATGCACATTTTACATGACCTTTTTCTATGTATAGCAGTTTGAAAAAATCAAATGCATGATGTAAATTCTTGAAATAAATTTATTCATCTAATTTCAAAATATCGGCTGTTATCTGTGTTGATAATTTGCTAGAATTAAATGTGACTTCTTTTAATGTTACATTTTTCCCCATTTTGTTACCATGGCATTGTGTACAGATTATTCATCTTTAAGTTTGTGTCATTCTTATCAACATGCTTAAAATGCTAAAAGTTGAAAGTGTCATACGTTTCAGGTGTGCCTTTCATTTTATTACTCCGTTGCCATGGCAACATAACATGTTGAATATTGATAAAAAAAAATATCAGTCTAAGTTTCTTAATTACTTATAACTTTAGGTACATGCCAAAGTGCAATACATGTTGACTATTCATAGTTTTAATTATCATAACAAACCAGTTAACAAAATACTGAGACTTAATTTTCGTTATCCCACCCACTTTAAGAATATCAGAATCTAAATTCTTTTACAATAAGGATAAAAAAATAAGGGTGGTATTAGTATGATATTATTCATTTACACCCCTATGCCTTAGCTGGTAGGAAAAAATGTCAGCCCCATATCAATTTTTGATAATTTTTTCATGCATTTTTTAGCAAATTTATCTATGAAATTCAGAGAATATGAAAAAAATAATGGAAATACCTCCATTTTCATATTGATCCAATAGGATGTGAAGTTCTTACATCATTTTAGCTCGACTATTCGATAAGAATAAGTAGAGCTATTGTAGTCACCCGAGCGTCGGCGTCCGCGTCGGCGTCCGCGTCGGCGTAACCACTTATGTTAAAGTTTTTGTAATAGTTTAAATATTTTCAAAGTCCATTGACATGTGGCTTTGAAACTTTGCACACTTGTTCACCATCATTACCCCAACCCGTTAGCAGGAGGAGGTAACTGTATCAATCATTTTGACAGAATTATGCCACTTTTTTCGACTTAAAATTTATGTTAAAGTTTTTGTAATACCTCAAATATTTTCAAAGTCCATTGACATATGGCTTGAAACTTTGCACACTTGTTCACCATCATTACCCCAACCTGTAAACAGGAGGAGGTAACTGTATCAAGCATTTTGACAGAATTATGCCCCTTTTTAGACTTAGAATTTACGTTAAAGTTTTTGTAATACCTCAAATATTTTCAAAGTCAATTGACATATGGCTTTGAAACTTTGCACACTTGTTCACCATCATTACCCCAACCTGTAAACAGGAGGAGGTAACTGTATCAAGCATTTTTTTTTACAATCAAGCACTAAGAATAGTCGAGCGTTGCTGTCCTACCGACAGCTCTTGTTACTTAAATAAATACAAAAAGACTAATTTTATCAGATAAAATGCGTATTAGCCATTTTTCAATAATTTGGCGGCCATCTTGGCGGCCATCTTGGATTTAATGAAACGTACCATTATTTGACATGTCTACCCAAATTTTTTTGCAAACTTCAAACATTTAGCTTTACATTGGTATAACATTCATCCATGGACCTTTTTTGCACACAAAAGGTCCCCAGGGACTGTACTACTTCGTGTTTTCGTATAAGAATCTTACACCGGCTGCCGGTACAGACCGGAATATCTAGCTCGAGGGTAACTGTTTACGGCGGTAACGAGGCTCTGCCGAGTTTCCGCAAAAACGGGTTTACCCGAGAGTTTAAGATATTTCCCGTCGTACCAAAAGCCGGTGTTTAAATTTTTTTCTTGCATTTTTAAATGTAAATTTTTTTTTCGGAACAAAAATTATAAAAAATTTGAAAATTTCATAACGCATTTTTTTTTAAAAGTAGCTTTAGGGAATTTTAAATTTCTTTAAATAAGGGAAAAAATGCGTCATTCCAAAAAGGGCGTTTTAATTCAAAAAAAGGGGGCGCGTAAATTTAAACGCCCTTTTAAAAGCACGCGACCTTGCCCTTACATGGGGGGTGTAAGACAGAGTTTTTTTTGCACCGGTTTTAAAACAGTAGGAATAACCCTGTTGGGGATGCAAGAATCTTCGCTCCTTGGTTTTCGACGTTTTGCGTTTCAAATTTCTTCTTTTGTAGGCGATGGCACTAACGGAACACCGTACATTTCTTAAATGTGACTTAATTATGTTTTTTGTCATTAAAAACCAGCAATAATAAAAATACATTTTTTTTAAATTCAGAAATCGTTACTTTACTTGAAAAGTGTGATCAGGAGATATTTGATGGCTACAAAGATTACAAAGTAAATAGTATATTTTAATTATTTTATAAATTTATGGAATCATTTTTAGGCCAAAAATATATCTACCAAGTATGAGATAAAAAGTGACGTTCTTTGTTACGGAGTTTCGCGAACTTCAGTTTTACTGCTTGTTTCCAGTTTTAATTTCCACCTTTTAAAGAGATTTTGATATCTAAATAAAAATATCTGTTGTTTTTTTCAACCCTTAATCTGTATAGAATCAAAACTGGTTGTGTAGTCAGGCTCTAGACTGTTGGTCGCCCGGTTTCTGAATTTTTATACTGAATTCACTTTAAGACCGAATGGAATATTCCAAATTTAAAACTGGACAAACCCATTACACAAATCCAGCAGATTTTAGGGTTAAAGTCTTCATTTTGGTGGTATTGTCTACGTTGAAAATAAGATTTCGTTGAAAAATTTATTCATATATTGATCATATTTATTTCAACTTTATACAGCCGGTCTTTTATAGTGGCATCTTTTAATACGGAATCAAGCTTTTGTTTAATTATCATGTATGTCAAGTACCTCGGCGACAATTTTAAATTTATTTACAGTCATTGAATTGGTTTCTTCTTAAGTTTCTTTTTCGAATGACCAGATTGTAATTCTACAAAAAAAAACATTATCTCTTAATTACAGTGAATTGTATGGAAGTTAGTTAAGAATTACGACCAAACCTAGTTTATTACACATTTGAGCCGCGTCATGACAAAACCAACATATTGCGTTTGCGACCAGCGTGGATCCAGACCAGCCTGCGCATCCGCGCAGTCTGATCAGGATCCATGCTGTTCGCTGTCAGTTTCTCTACTTGTTACATAGTTGGTAAGCGAACAGCATGGATCCTGATCTGAGGCTGGTCTGGATCCATGCTGGTCGCAAACCCATTATGTTGGTGTTGTCGTGACGCGGCTCATTTATATTTTACAGTCGATATTCAGCGAAGAGATGATAAAGACAATTGATGATGTTTCAGAACATGTCATCGAATGTTGCAGGTAATTTATTATTGTATTAGTTTTTATTATTAAAATTACATAATATGGACTTTCCCCAGCTTAATTGGAAATGTCAATTATCAGTTTAATTTGTTGTCGCAACATATTTAGGTCTCCTTCATTTCCACGAGTCCTTGACCTTTTCATATTTGCCTCATATCCTTTCTGCCTGCGAGCAGACTGAAAACTTTTTTATGACTGAAATACTTTTCCATCTCGCGTACATTTACCTATTGATAATTTTTATTTGAATTTATAAAACGCATTTTGAGAAAATGTCGATTAAAGCATGAAAAGAGCAAAAATAAAATGTTTTAATTTTGATTTGATTTTTCTTTTTTCATGCAAAGTTTAAGAAAATTCTCTGCAAAAAATCCTCTTCTTTGCAGAAACGTTTATAATCATTATTAATCATATTCATTTGGGGGAATGTTTTAAAAAAACCCCAATGTTGTTTTAACTTTTTTTTAAATATGGGTTTAAAGATATGGTCAGGTAATCTGACGATCGCCCCCCCCACCCCCAAAAAAACAACAACAAAAACACAAAACAAAACACAATACACACGGAAAAGCTCTGATTTAAGTTTTTACGTGTATTTTACTTCTATTTGTCAACAGGAGGACGGAGGTGGGTTAGTGGTGTTTAGTGGATGTGGGAAACATCCGGCGACTAGGATTTAATGGTTGCCGTAAGTTTATACAGTACAACCCATGCAGGGCAAACCCGCTTGCAGACAAACATTTGTTGTTGTTTAGTGGTTTTGCTCTATAGATGTTGATTTTATTGTGATGTTTTACTTTTAGAAGCTATTGGGCAGTTGTTGTAAAGAGAAAAACTGCTTTATAGAGGGTTGCTCTGCAGAGGTTACATTACCTTCCTTGAAAATCAAAGCAGCCGACCAGACAATTACTTATTACTTTATTAATTCAAAATATTGTTTTTTGAAAAAAATCTAGTAATTATGGGCCTTGTACATCTTGTTCACTGGGTTTTTAAATCATATTTTGATAATTCAAAAATAAATTTTAAAAAATGATAGCTTATCACTTATTAATAATAATATGATAAAGTATTCGGTTAATTAAATACCAAAAAAGTCTCCAACAGTATGAGCCCTGTCCCGAGGGCAGAAAAGTGCAAAGCTGGGCTGGATCTATACCCGTGGCAAAGGCTAGTTAGCAGTTTGGGTCCGTCCTATTTAAAGTCTTAAAAATGCTATTTCGTTTTAACCACAGAGGGAACGTTTCAATGAACTTCAACGTGAGGCTGGGAAACGTCCCCGGGAAATATTTCCGGTACCTGAAGGGTGGTGGGGTGACAAGTAATTATTTTTAAAGGGACTAATGCCCCAGAATCCATATTAATAAACATAAATCTATGTGTCATAAAGGTAGCATCATGTAAAAAAAAAATATATTTTTTTTTTAAAATTTTTATTTACCCCGGGGAATTAAAAATTTTTTTTTTCATTTCTAGTATGGGTTTTAACAATTTTAAACAGAACTAAAAGTGCAAAAGAAAATGCCCTTTTATATCCAAAAGGAAAAAAGTGTTTAGAACAATTTCCAACAGAACCAAAAAATGCAAAAAAATTTGTTTTAAAGTATATTAGCAAACGGTATGTGTTTTGGGAAACAGTAAAAGGAAAACCCCTTCAAATCAAATTTTTGGGGACATAATGGGGCCTGTAATTAGTTCTTTTTTAATTTTTTATT